TAAAATCTGGATCTGGTTTTAGATTTCAATTCGAAGTCTTTCAGTTGAAATTCCAATGTACAGTCCATATGCATCCATATGGATTGTACATTGGATTAATCCATATAATATGACCATTGATATATGTAATTGATATATCATATATATATATATATATATATAATAACCATTAACGTAATCCATATCCAATTTTATGCCTACAGTAAATAATTATTGGTTAAATTTTTTTAACTTTAATTATTCAAGCTCTTTAAAAAAAAGGAATTTGGAAGAAGATTTGAAATTTTAAACAAAAATATAAATAAAGTCCTATTAAATAAAAGTAGCATTCAATAAACTTTTGAATACTTTTATTTCTAAGGTTGTTATTGAAAATCAAGATTTAAAATAAACATATATACTTTAGACTTCGGTTGATTTCGAAACTTCTATTACAATATAAAAATATATGTATTACAGTATTTTTATAAGGCAAATATATAATAAAGAAGCATCCAACGAACTTTTGAATACCAAATTGTTATTGAAAATCAAGATTTAAAATAAACATATATACTTTAGACTTCGGTTGATTTCAGAAACTTCTATTACAATATAAAAATATATGTATTACAGTATTTTTATGAGGCAAATAGAGACGTTCCAAGAAACCCTCATGAATTTTGCATTCAATATATTTCTTCAGCGGAAAAAATGTGGTGCTTTAGGGAAGCCTAACTTTATTTGCACTCAATATCCTTGTATTTTATAGATATAAAAAGAATACACCCAAACAGAGACTTCTGCCAAACTGCTGGCCAGCCACGTTGAATTCACAAAACGTTAAGCACTATTTTTCAGAACTTTTGAGGACAACCCATCATTCATACCGCCCCTTTTGAAATTTTAGGAGTGGAAGGATATTTACCAAGCTTTCGAGACACAAAACTTATTTTTGCCATTATCAACTGAAGAATGGCATCATGAAAATCTAACTTTTTTTCTTCCCTTTTTTGAAAAGTTCCTGGCCCCACACCAACACAGGATTAGTTTTTTATGAATAATTTTTATTTGGTTTTTTTTGTCGCGAATGAAAAGCTTTTGTTTGCACACTCGCTGTAGAAAAAAAGATTTTAAAAGATATTTTTCGGAGTATTCCTGGAATAAAAAAAAAAAAAGAAGAAAGAATGTTTTTTTTTTCGTTGTTGAGAGTTAATTCGCAAGGAAAAAATAAGCTTACAGCTGTTCGCGACTAAGATAAACTCTTAAATTTAAGAAAGTATTTTTTTTCCTTGCATTGCTAAAGTGAAAAATGCTGTTATTGTGTAGGGATTTATAAGGCAAAAATCTGGTCATGGCAGGTTGGATAATATAAGTGATCTATTTCATCTAATTTATATCTCCCGTTTAGGTTTTTCCGCTACTTTTTTTTGTAATATAAGCATCATTAAGTGCTTTATATTTTTTTATTTTAAACTTTAATATTATAAAATATTCATTTTTTTGCAGAAATAATAACTGGTGTAACATTGGAAATACTTGCAAAAACTTTCTAGAATTTTTTGATACACTGCAATCTCATTTGTAATGTAATTTAACGACTTCTAAAATTATTTTTTTAAAAGGAGTGTAGAATTTCTTTTCTTTTTGCGACGATAACATGTTAAAAATAATACAGTGCAAAAGGGATTGCCTATATTAAAAAAAATTGTTACTTAGCAATACAAATGTATACAAGGGAGATAGAAAGTTGATTAATTACACTTTTTTAAATTTGTTTGCCATATTTTAATTTTTTATTTCGATATATTTAACTTTTAGTTTTTCTGTAAATTTTCTTCAAGATGTATTTTTGAGAATAACATGAAAACGTGACGTTTTTAGAAACAGTACAAATAAACATTGAAAAAATTTAGCAGTTTTTAAAAATTTTATAGAGAGAAAAACATATATATTAAATTGCTAACAATGATTATTATATTAAGCAAACATAAAGTAAATTTATTGATCATACTTATAATTAATTATAACAGAATACACACTTTTAATTTAATAAATGGGAAATTATAAATGTTCTGTTATCACTGTGGAAATACTTGATTAAATAATATCAGCTCAAGACCCTTTTAAAATAATTTTAATTCCAAAAAATAAACTATGAAATTAAAAATTCTTAATAGCAATTTGAAATTGAATGAAAACAATAGGCCGAATAATCAACATTTAGATAACAATCTTTTAATTAAAAGTTTCTTCTTTCAATTTAATATTTTATAAATTGTTTTTCTTTGAATCAATTCAAATTTTAAATTAGATTACTATAATTATGATAAGTTTATACAGTCGAAAACTGTTAATTTATAATTTTTGATAGAACATGCATTTGAATACTTCTAAGTTATTTTCTATTAAAACAACCTTATTTTTTTTATATTTATGTTGGAAAGGTATTTTTGTAACAGTATCTGTTAGAATTATGGTCCGACAAATGCTTAAATGAATTTCTTATTGATATAATTTTAAATATATAATTTCTTTTGTGATGAAATAGACCTTTGTTGTGCAAGAGTTTCGATGATTGTAATGCAAGCAAACACGAAATAATGATTTTAGTTAATTTACAGTCTTTTGATTGTGAAATCGGTATAACTCGTTTATTTCAATGTTTCGAAAATTCGTTTAAAAAAACATTTATTCGTATCATTAGAATTTAATTTAAATTTATTAATTATATATATATTAAAAACACACTCGCAGCACCCTACATATATATAAATATATATATCTTCTTCATTGAGATGCGGGCCAATACTGGCAGATTTCGAAACAAGAATGACAGGAGGGTTGTCAGGCCCACTCTCTACAGTCATAGAAGACCCATGATTTAAAGTAGATTCCGAACCATGCAATATCATCCCTGAAACGAGATTCGAACCCAAAACCTGTGGTACCGCGCTGGTCACTCATCCATCAGTGACCTTTCACACACACACACAGCTTTAATAATTTTAAATTTTATAGATTTGTTGGAGATATGTTTTAAAAAAAGTTAAAATTAGTTAAAAAAAAATACTTTAAGTGAGATGCAATTTGCAACAGAAATCGAAAGTCGAAGATTGCTTTTGTTCAAATGCAATTATTTAAACATTAAATTATTGTAAATTAAATTGTTAAATTATGTTTATTTAAATTTATAATCTTTTTTATATCTTATATTTAAATTATAAAAAATAAATATCAACCCGTAATGTACAATGAAAAATAATTTAGGTTTGTCTTGAGACTTAATCTAAGACTACGAATTTGTGCCAGAACTGCAATCATATTCAAAGACTATTTTTAAATAAACATTTAAGTTCGCCTTGCCTTTTTTTTATATATTGCAGAACAATAGGGGATCATTTTGTCTTTACAATTAATTCAAGTCGACATTTATTTTCTTTGAAATAGAAAGTATCCAAACAGAAGAGTTTCCCTTGCATCCTTTAATTGCTATTTTATCGACGATACCCAATAAAGTAACATTCTTAACAAATGATGCAAGCTTTCCAAGTAGAAAACAAATGCAATTTATTTGACATTTCAAACATTCTCTGCAAACTTTTACAGTGATACTAGTAAATATTTTTCGAAAAAAAGTACGAAAGAACCTTTAGTTTATCAGTAGAGACAAATGTTTCGGATATATAATCTATCAAATTTTAGATGTGTAAGAAAAAGCTTTTAAACTCCTAAAGTTAATTAATTATGTAACAGTTTTTTGTTAGTCTTACGCTTTGTGTTTAAATTGTATAAGTCTAGAATTTTTAGTTACTTTGAGTAAAATATATATTTTTAATAGAAAAGGTTGAATAGGAACAAATTTTCTTAATTATTTCTTATTTGCCGATAATTTTTAAATATATAAATGTAGTATGAAGATTAAATGGTATATTTTTTTTTTTAATACCATTGCCCAGTGTTGAAATCAATAATCCAAAATGGAAATTAAATATTTCTATAAAACATTGATTTTTATTTACCTCTAAAATTATAATTATGGAAAATAAAGAAGTTAATGCATTTTATCATTTTATTTAATTACCTATTGGCATTTTTCCTTTTTTTTTTAGATTTTAGTATTTAATATTTCTTGATCAGACTTTTGAATTTAAACAAGTAATATAAAAAAAAAATTTGTAAGTCAATTCCTACTTTTCCCTTACAAATTAATTTTCATTCATTTTTTTTAAGTTAGAAAAATTCCCCTCTCTCTGTGACATACACACTTTCCATCTCTCTCACTCATTTATTCACATGTTTCCATTTTCCAGTTTGTTCCCTCCTTGACTCAGACTAGAATAACCAGAATGAAAAAAAGGAAATTTTTTTCTAGCGATCTACACGCTTCGCCACTGACAGTATTTATTCATAAATTTATATCCTGCCAAATATCTTATACGAGAGAAATTTTTTTCTCCCATATAAAATTAAAATTAATTAATTAAATTAAATTAATGAATTAATATTTGAAAAACTGTATTAACATCAAGTGTCATATACTACGAGTTTAAAAATGTATTTGAACTTGTGTGGACGAATAAAAAGTATTTTATCATCGATTGAAAGCCGAAACAAGATATATAAATATATATAACAAGAGTATGAACTAATAGTAGAAATTGAAAAATGTGAACAGGTGACAGCTATATTATTATATATTGTTGTTTGTTGTTTCTTATCCCACTTGGTATAATATATGGTAGTTCTAGGCCAAGCCCACTAATCTACATTGTACTCATGATTGAAGGGGGAAGAAAGCAGCTTCTGTTGTGATGGAGCACTCGTAGGTAGAAGCCTGACTTTGGCTTAGTGACGCCTACAGTCGTAGGAGACCGGGACCTACGGCTTAAAGTGGATTCCGAACCACTACAAACATCCATAACACCGCCGGGACTCGAACCCAAAACCTTTGGCACCGAGCGGCAGAGAGCTAGACACTTGGCCATTCAGGCCATCATATATAAGAGACGGGAATACCAACGGCCATACCATGCTGAATATACCGGTTCTCGTTAAGATCACCGAAGTCAAGCATCATTGGGCGCGGTCAGTACTGGGGCGGGTGACCACTCTGGAACACCGCGTGCCGTTGGCATTCACAAATTTGGGACCTGAATGGCCGAGTGCCTTCAGCGCTCTGGCGCTGGTGCCACAGGCTCAGGGTTCGAATCCCGGCGGTGGCATGGATGGTCACCTATGACTGCAAAGAGCGTCACGGAGCCCAAGTCAGACTTCTACCATCGGTGCTCCATCACAACAGAAGCTGCTTCCTTCCCCTTCAATCATGAGTACGTAGGGCTCGTGGGCTTGGCCAGCCAAGGGGATGTTGAAACAACAACAACAAACAACATATATAAGAGAGAAAATAAAATATTTTCCACAACATAAACCATTAAACTACAAACAACTACAACCAGCGCACAACAGAAACAAATATTAACATACAAATAATAAATAGAGAAATGTAATTTTAAAGAAACAAGTGTTAAAATGTTGATAAAACTGCAAAAAAAAAAAAAAAAAAAAAGAAACAAGTTTTGTCGGTTTTATTAGATTAATATTTTTATACATAGGTACATTTCAAAATGTGACTAAAATTTAATAATTCGAATTTCGATTTTATAATTTTTAATATCGTGGATAAAGAAAAGTTCCCGGTGTTCGTTTTTTAAACTTCTTTTCTGTCCGTCTGCATTTAATAAATTGTACGTTTGCTCCTATGAATTTTGTTTTAAAATTGACATATTTTTTAATCTATTTTATTTCCTTGACATAGAAACCTCAGTATATAATTTTTTTTTTGTTATTAATTTTTTAATTCGATAATATATATTTACTTAATTTAGATGATATGGCCATTTAACCTATTCAACTTGAAACGTAAATTCTGTTCATTTTACGATTGAAATAAAACTGAAACCTAGTAAAAAAATATATTTAATCATCAATATAGTCACTATTTGTTTTTCAAAGAAATCTTCATTTCTGCTTTCCAATGCCTTTCTATGTACTCCATTTAATTTTGCCTTAAAATAATCTAGCTTCTTTATTTAATGATCTTGATGCTAGCTTTATTCTTGCAAAATGATACCGTTCTTAATAATGGCAATCTATTAAATCAGTGTCTTCTGAATAATGATGGATGAAACATATTTTTCCAAGCAAATTTTTTAAGAGGCTATTACATTTGTAGTGTGGAATTTGTCATAATCAAGTTGTAGGATGTCTTTTTTTTTTTGTTTTTGTTTATAAACTAAACTTTTATGCAAACGTGTTTTTAAGCGTCTTACAATACACTTTAAATTAATGTTTTATTGTCATCTAATAGCATATAACCAACAATTCCTTCTTTATCTTATTTACACTCAAATAATCTTCTTTAGGAACAGACCATTTGGAAGATGTTTTATGGGTCTGAACTGTAGCCAAGTCACGATCATTTGCGCTAACATAATAGAGAATCCCCTGATTGAGAATGAATTGATGTTTTATGTTTTACAATAATCCTTCAAAAAAAAAAGTCATAACTTCCATTGCAACCTGATATCATTCATGTAGTTACATATTTTTTATAAATTTGTCTTGAACAATTATCTCTATTGTTATTAATTATCTGCCTGACTCCTGACACAGCATCAACGCGTGCCTTTGGTGAACATTAGGCTGAGGTTCAAACCGCTGGTGGCTTTGTTGTTGCAAAAATGTTTCAAAAATGAGGACAATGAGGTGTTTGGGATGTTCAGCATTTCCTGCCCTCGTGAGTCGTGACTATCTGTTGAGTTTTCCAGATTTTTTTCCTATACGATATGCAAATGTATGATATGTATACGCAAATATATGGTAGTTCCTCCCCGAAGGCACTGCTCTCCTTCGTCAGCGACACGACGCCAAGTCAGATCTCTACCTATGGTACCCGGTTACGTTAAAAAAGCTGCCCAAAGCCTTCTTCATCCATGAGCAATTTACTCATGGATGGAGAGGAAGGGGCAGCTTTTATTACTCATGGGATGTCCGTCTCACACTGAAGGACATTCAGGATTACACACAACTACAACCAATTACCTCTGTTGTAATATGTTTTATAGATTTGTCTTGAAAGAAAGATTTGAAAAGACAAAATAATATTAATAAATATCATATCCTAAGATTTGTCGAAACAGACTACTCAAGTTCATAGATAAAAATTGACATAAACTTAGAAACACAACAGAGTCTAACTGAACAAGAAAATTCCAAAATTATTTCTTTTGAGATCGTCCGTCGAGAGTAATATTATTGTTATTAATGTTCCCATATCCCGAGTTTTCCTTGATTGGCCCGGATAATTCGCCACAATAGGGAGAGGCCTAATAAAATCAGTTTCCCTAGATTTCATTGTCGAAAGTTGGTAATAAGATCGAGGCACTGGGTCCTTGGGAATTGCGTAGATTGTGGTACCTGAATAGAAAATGGCAGAGAATAGTGGTTCAGTTTCTGCTAGGACATTTCTTTTGATTCTGAAGACTAGACAATTTCTGTAGACAGGACTGCTATTTTAAAATAAATGATGACTCTGAATAAAAAAAATTATATTTGTATAATAAATAAATCTTTTAGAATACGCATTTTTTGTCTTCCAGATCTTTTAATGTCTTTGTCTTTATTTTGTCTTTCTAAACTACATGAACTTATAATTATTATGTGATGGTTTTACATGAATTATGCTTCATGTAATGTGAAAAAGAACGAGAATCAATTGAACAATAAAAATTGCAAATAACATTTAATCAAATTAAAATGCAAAAATTCATTTAACTGGAATAAAAAAATTTATAAACAAACATACAGTTTAGACATTCAGCAAATTTAGCAATATTTTAAATGATGCGTTGCATTCACTGTAAACTCTATTCTGATTATTATAAGATTGATGTAAATAAGTCGTACAATAAATTTTGAATTCATCATCGCTTTATTCTGGTTCTTAATCTTATCGAGAACTTTTTGGATTTGTGTTATTAAGGTTTTTTTTCCGTGGTGCCTCCACGGTTTTTTTTATAGGAAGTTGGTTGAAGTTGACTTTGAAGGGAAAACAAACCATCAATTTTGGGATTATTGCTGAAAAATATCTTCAATTCACAGCCTTTCTATCTATACATTGCATTTAGTAAAATTCCAATTAGAAGTGTATTGAACTTGATTTTAAAGAATGTAAACAAACTATTGCATGAGCGACCACACCCACATTTTGACAGATCACTTTGTAAACATTGAGCGAGATTTAAATAACACTTCAACACCTTCAGCACGCAAAACCTCAGAATTTTGCTTATTTTCAATGTCTCTCCTAGATTTTAAATTGACTGTAGTTGTAATGCAAAAGCTTGTTTACAAAATGCACATACGCTGTTAAAATAGGATTGTTAAATCTCATTTTACTTATACTACTTTTAAATTGGGTGCCATCTGTTTAGCAATCTTGATTATTTTAGCAAGCTTTGTGATGTTATGCTTTATTGTTCCTCTTGACGTTCTGTTTAGTTATTATATATTTAAATAAGCCTCTATCTAAAAAGAATACACTCAATTCAAGTAAAGGGCATGGCTAATCTTGTTCAAATCTTCATCAAAATTTTTGAACAGATTAATGTAAATTTGAAAAAAAATATTTAAATGAAAAATTAGGGGCATACTTAATATTTTAATGAAACTTTTCCTGCAAATATTATATCATTAATTTTAAAATAAACTTCGGATTGTTTACCCCCCATGGAGTACTGTTACTCGGTGTAAGATTCAGTTGTTCGTCAACATATTTCTAATATGGAACTGTGATTTCAGTGTCTACCAACAAGCAAAACATTAAAATATATTTGTGTCATTATCAATTTGCAAATTAAGCTTTGCATCAAAATAATGTAAAATAATGTGAATCGAATAACATACACAAACTCCACGTTTTTAATATAAAAAAAAAAAAAAATTTGCATTTAAAATTTTTAGATTTTCCGCTCTATGGTCATTTTATTTAGCCTAAAGTGTGCATAAGATGATCGAAGAGCGACAAACTGAACGAAACTGAACTACAGTCATTTTTTGCGCATTTTGGACTAATTGACAGAGGCCTACAATTTAACCTTTAATTTTTAGAAGTCAGTATACTTCCTAAACACGTATTTTTAAAAACATATTTATTTAAAATGTTTTTCTAATAATTATATTTTCTTTTTGATCTCAATCTATATGATAATTATTTCAGAAAATTTAACAACCATTTCTTAATAAAATGAAATGAAATTAGAAACAGATTTCATTACACTTGCATGAATGTTGTATACAAAAGCAATATGTAAAACCTAAAAGGAGAATTTCATTTGTGGATCTTTTCATTTAGAATTATTAATACTTCAGATATGTTTAAGATAATAAAAAAAAAAAACAGTTATAATGCATTTTTTAAATCAAAATGTGTTCATTATAACAAATGAGAAAATTGTAAAAGAAACTTGGTGATAAAGACTTAATGATAATGCGCTATTTAGATACTTTTAAGATAGATATTAAAACATATTACCTTTTTGTCATGATTGAAAACACTACTTTCCCCTCTTGATTCGGTTTTAGCGACGCATTCCCATCTGTAATGATGATTATTTGAAGCTCCAAGTTTAAAAGGTTAAATAAATGCCCCCTTTTCAATTTCAGATAAATATTTCAATGAAGGATAGTGCTTGTCTAAAAAAGGACTTTGCTGATGGATTGACGAAAAGCTGTCATTGAAAGGTCTTTATCAATGATTTTGTCATGCCCTATGAGCTACACACAGCTCATTACTGCAATAACACAATGCCTAAACTGATGAGCTTGAGTATTCAATATTTGATCTATGGATGTTGAAAGGGGCTGCGGACAAATGGTTTCATCGGCATGCTGGTTGAACATTTTTGCCGCTGAGGCTTCGAAGTCCGCAAAGCAAAAGCTCGAATCTGAGTTTTGAAGAAAGAGAAATAATATCTTGTTCATGATCCTGGAGTTGAAGTGCTGATCCGTGCTGTTTGATTTAGTTGTTTAATGATTTGGAAAATAGTTGGGACTTAGTCCTCGGTTAGTTC